GCAGCCTCTCATGAGGGAACTGGGTGACTGGGAGGCAGAGGTAAGAGAAGGCTTAATTCTAAGTTTATATTTTATACGGCATACTGTATATGTTCGAAAGGTAGTGTGTGTTTGTTTGTTTGTTTGTTTGTTGAGATGGAGTCTTGCACTGTCACCGCTGGAGTGCAGTGGCACGATCTCGGCTCACTTGAACCTCCGCCTCCTGGGTTCAAGTGATTCTCCTGCCTCAGCCTCCCTAGTAGCTGGGATTACAGGCATCCACCACCACGCCCAGCTAATTTTTTGTATTTTTACTTATGATGGGATTTCACCATGTTGGCCAGGCTGGTCTTGAACTCCTGACCTCGTGATTCACCTGCCTCGGCTTCCCAAAGTGCTGGGATTACAGGCATGAGCCACCACACCCAGCCGAAATAGTGTTTTAAAAGTATGTCTAAATATTATAACTTCCACTTCATATTAAGGGGAAATCATTTCAACAAGTGTTTCTTGACTCACTCACTGTATACCAGGTCCATGGCGGGTGCTCCCAGAGAGTCTGGGGAAGAAGAACACAAGTCCCTCTCCTTGGGCACCTGCTGGGGAGAAGATGCACTCACATGAATAACTAGAGGATAATACTAGAAGTGTGACATTGAACATAGTCAAAGATTCTAAAGTGGTGAAGAGACTGGCAAGTCTGTTTCTGGTTGGGACTTTCAGAATGGAAAGTAGATCTGGTTGTATGTTTAATTTATTCAGGATCTTTTATGAAAAAGATTGATACCTTAAATATATTTGTTTCATTTAAAACAACAGACAAAAATAACTCAAAATTATCATTCATATTACAGCAGTACAAAAATAATATGCCAACCCATCTTTATTCCAGCTGCTTTCTAGTACCACTGGAACTGAAATGCTCTATTTATTTAAACCTAAATTTAGCATGAGGTGACTGGGCAGCTCAGGACACTGCAATAAAATGTCATTGGCATTTTGATCCATGGCTGTTGATGAGAATGTAGGACATCAGTGTTTCCAAAAAGTAAGGCCACGACACACTTGGAAAAAAAAACAAGAAAGAAGTAATTGAAATTCTGAAAGGGGACTTTGAGAATTACCTACAAATAGACACTGACCTTCTTTTTTTCCTTATCCTTAATCCCCTTCTAACTGAATATCACCACGATGTGTTGGAAGAGGAGGCACGGCTTCTGCACTACAGGCTGTAGCTGGTGTGTGAACACAGCACAGCTTCTAATCCTGTACCAAATATAAAATTAACTGAAAAATGGCTTTCTGTTTCAGTTTGTTTGCTCATAAGGTACAAGGCACTGATAGATATTTGAGGAAAATGAAAGCAATAGGCTCAAAGTCAGTCAACAGAAAAATAACTGCTTTGTAAGACAGACATTTCTGAGAAACCTCTAACCTCAGCCGTCCAGCCTTAGCCACACCTTCCCTGTGAAGTCACACATTAAGGAGAGTGTGCTGGGTTGAGCAACACCACACCACACACGGGCTGCCTACCACGGAAGGCTGTTTCCATGCCAGAGGGATTCCAAAGAAATACATTGAGCTTGAGGTTAATCCTGGAGTCAAACTCTTGCCCAGGGAGGGCTCTTGTGGTCTGGAAAGGCCAGGGGACCCTACAGAGTAATTTGGCGACTGAGGCTTTGGGTTCACTCTAGGACAGAGACAAGAACTACTATGGCTAAATGGTCTTGGGCCACCTAATGCCATCTTCAAGTCAAAGCCAAAACCTACCTGGTTTCTCAGGAGTCTTTCTGAGTGTTCCCAACAACCCCTGTACTTCCCTGAGGCCGGTAATGTGCTGGCTGAGTGTGGAACCCTGGGGATGAAAGTGAAATCGGGGAGTAGTTTGAGAGGCTATCACACCCCAGAAAGGAAGGTCAGGGCTAGGTCTGCCAAGTGCCCCAACACTTTCAGGATGGATTTAGCTTGTGACAGCATCAGACTTCAGATCACCCCATCCCCACCCTGCATCTACCGGTGGGTCTGACCTACCCGATGAGCCTTTTGCCTAAATGTCTGGTTGTCATTCATAATCTCTGCTGAGAACAAAATGGTCCCTATCTCAGTTTCTTCATAGAGTTTCTGGCAGCATCTTTTTGTTGGGCTGGTTCCAGCTGTATGTATCCCGGGATAGCTTTGTCCATTTTTTGCTATGCTCAGACATCCTGCAAACAACGGACGTTTCAGCACTAACCTGGGTACATTTTAAATTTTTGTGTCATGGCCGGGCGCAGTGCCTCACACCTGTAATCCCAGTGCTTTGGAAGGCTGAAGTGGCTGGATCACCCGAGGAGAGTTCAAGGCCAGCCTGGCTAATGTGCTGAAACCCCTTCTCTACTAAAAATACAAATATTAGTCGGTCATGGTGGTGCATACCTGTAATTCTAGCTACTCAGGAGGCTGAAGCAGAAGAATTGCTCGAACCCGGGAGGTGGAGGTTGTAGTGGGCCAAGATCATGCCACTGCACTCCAGCCTGGGCAAAAGAGTGAGATTCCATCTCATCATCATCATAATAATAATAATAAATAAAATTTTTGTGTCAGATAGAGTTAGTGATTTAGGCAATGGTTCTGTCCGGGGATTAATCTGTCCCAACCCCTGCTACTCTGAGCTGCACTCTACTAGACCCATTACCTAACTCAAAGCTTCCAGGGAACCTGATTGCCTGAGAAGCCCTATCTACAATAGGTTACTGAAATGTACCTTGGCTAAGACTGCCTGGGGACATGGCCCTATATAGGCCTCATACACACCCATGACATCTCAGACACACTGAAATCAGACGACTTCTAAATGAAAAGAAAAACAGGAATAATGTCATAGGTCCACCTTGACAAATGCTACTCTAAGGTAACCAATAACCTTCTCATTCGATGGGTGTAATTCTAAGGGTGACCAAAATTACTGGCATGCTTTGGAGTTACTGCAGGTTCTGTTCCAGACCACTGCAATGAAACAAATATCACAATAAAGTGAGTCACACAAATTTTTTGGTGTCCCAGTTTATATAAAAGCCATGTTTATAATATACTGTAGTCTCTTAAGTGTGCAATGCTGTTATGTCTAAAAAAACGATGTGCATACCTTAATTAAAAATACTTTATTGCTAAAAAATGCTAACTATTGTTTGCACCTTCAGTGAGTGACACTCTTTTTGCTGGTGGAGGGTCCTGCTTATTTTTATGGCAGCTGACTTAGGATGGTGATTGGTGAAGGTTGGGGTGGCTGTAACAATTTCTTTCTTTCTTATTGGAAGAGACATGGTCTCTCTCTGCGGCCCAGACTGGAGTGCAGTGGCATGATTATAGCTCACTGCAGTGTCAAACTCCTGGGCTCAACGAATTCTCCTGCCTCAACATCCCGAGTAGCTACACTACAAACGCCACCATACGTAGCTAATTTTATTAATTATTTTTTCGTAGCACCTAGGTCTCACTATTTTATCCAGGTTAATGTTGAACTCCTGGCCTCAAGTGAGCCTCCCCTGCCTTCGTCTCCCAAAGAGCTGAGATTATGGGCATAAGCCACCATGCTCAGCCTCTATTTTTTAAAATAAGGTCACAGTGGAGTTTGTTACATTGACTGAGTCTTCCTTTCATGAACTTTTTCTCTGTAGCATGCTATGCCATTTGATGTATTTTGCCCACAGTAAAATTTCTTTCAATATTGAAGTTGATCCTTTTAAACTCTGCCACTGATTTGTCAACTAAGTTTGTGGAATATTCTAAAACCTTTATTGTCATTTCAATAATGCTCACAACAGCTTCACCAGAAGTAGATTCCATCTCAAGAAACCAATTTCTTTGGAAGCAACTCCCCATCCATTTAGGTTTTATCAGGAGATCACAACAATTCAGTCACATTTTGAAGCTCCACTTCTAATTATAGTTCTCTTGTTATTTCCACCACATCTGCAGTGACTTCCTCCACTAAAATCTTAAACACTTCAAAGTCATCCATGAGGGTTGGAATCAGTTTCTTCTAAAGTTCTGTTAATGTTGATATTTTTGACCTCTTCCTGTAAATGTCCTTAACAGCACCTACAATGATGAATCCTTTCAAGAAGGTTTTCAATCGACTTTGCCCAGACCCACAGAGGAATCACTATCTATGGCAGCTGTAGCCTTACAAAATGTAAATAATGAGACTTAAAAGTTGAAATGGCTCCTTGATCTGTGGACTATAGAATGGATGCCGTGTTTCCAGGTATAAAAACATTAATGTTGGCCAGGTGCAGTGGCTCACACACTTTGGGAGGCTGAGGCAGGAAGATCATGAGGTTGGGATTTCAAGACCAGGCTGGCCAACATAGTGAAACCCCTTCTCTACTAAAAACACAAGAATAGCCGGGCACGGTGGTGTGTGCCTGGCATCCCAGCTACTGGGGAGGCTGAGGCAGGAGAATCGCTTGTACCCAGAAGCTGGAGGTTGCAGTGAGCTGAGATCATGCCATTGCACTCCAGCTAGGCAACAGTGGGAGACTCCATCTAAAGAAAATAAAAAAATAACGTCCTTGAAACCTCCATTGGAGCTCCTGGGTGATCAGATGCATTGTCAATGAGCAGTAATATTTTGAAAGGAATCTTTTTTTTTCTCAGCAGTAGCTCTCAACACTGGGTTTAATATAATCAGTAAACCATGCTGTAAACAGATGTGCTGTCATCCAAACTTTGTTGGTCCATTTATAGAGCAAAGCAGAATAAATTTAGCATAATTCTTAAGGGACCTAGGATTTTTGGAATGGTAAATGAGCACTGGTTTCCACTTATAAGTCACCAGCTGCATTAGCACCTAAAAAAAAATAAATTCATCTTGTCCTTTGAAGTTTTAAATCCAAGTGTTGTCTTCACCTCTGTAGACATGAAAGTCCTAGATGGACTTTTCTTCCAATAGAAGTCTGTTTTATTGCCATTGAGTATAGCTACCTTTATCAATGATCTTAGCTGTATTTTCTGGATCACTTCTAAATCTTCTTCATCAGCACTTGCTGCTCCACCTTGCACTGGTATGTTATGGAGACGGCTTCTTTCTTTAAACCGCATGACCAGCCTCTTCTAGCTGCCAACTTTTCTTCTTTGGTGTTCTCGTCTCTTTCATCCTTCCTAGAACTAAAGAGAATTAGGATCTTGCTCTGGATTAGGCTTTGGCTTCAGGGAATGTTGTGGCTGGTTTAATCCATGCAGACCACTCAGACTTTCTCCACATCAGCAAGAAGTTTATTTTGCATTCTTGTCATTTGTGTGTTCACTGGGGTAGCACTCTTAATTTTCTTCAGGAACTTTTCTTTCGCATTCACAACTTGAATAACTGCTTGGCACAGAGGCCTAGCTTTCAGCCTATCTTGGTTTTTGACATTCCTTCCTCACTAAGCTCAATCATTTTTAGTGCTTGATTTAAAATGAGAGATGTGCAACGCGGCCTTTCACGTTAACACTTAGGGGCTATTGTAGGGCTATGAATTGGCCTAATTCCAATATTGTTCTATCTCAGGGAATAGGGATGAGCAAGAAGAGAGGGAGAGAGACGAAGAAACGTCTGGTTGTTGAAGCAGTCAGGACACACACATTTCTAGATTAAGTTCACATTTTATATGGGTGTGGTTAGTGGTGCCCAAAAATAATCACAATAGGAACATCAAAGATCACTGATCACAGACCAGCATAACAGAAATGATAATTTGAACATTTAAAGTATTGCAAGAATTACCCAAATGTGACAAAGAAATATGAAGTGAGCAAATGCTGTTGGAAAAATGGCACCAGTAGACTTCCTTGACTCAGGGTTGCCACAAAGCTTCGATGTGTAAAAAATGCAATTATCTGTGAAGTGCTGTAAAGCTAAGCACAATGAAAGAATATACCCCTATACTGTGCTTTTCTGTACCAGTAGAGAGGGAATTTCTTCTTTAAGAAAATGACAAAAGGAATTCTTGATCTCTTTAAGTTTTTAAATTCAGGTTCTACAAGTTGATGGAGCATGACAAGTACTTCTCTTCTTCTAGACCCCCTTCACTGCTTCCAAAAGGTCATCTGAGAAGGGGCAAAGCTGAAACATGCAGAAGTATTGCATTTTTAAAATACTGCCAGATTCTGTGATTGATAGTACATTCAACTCAGTATATTGAAACAGTAAATAAATAGGGACCATGTGCCCTAAATTAATATAGTTCCCAAGAGTGCGTTGGTTTCAAGGACATAGTTTATGCTCTGCAGAGTCTCCCTCAATAAAACAATAAAAACAACCTAGCAGAAAGCAGGCTCTAAGTCAATGAGCTCCTCCTGGGTGTCCCAGCTTTGCTTTGTGCTGAGGGATGTATATGACAGTATATGACAGTTTCCTTCTCTTTAGCAAGCCCGCCATATAGTTGTGAAGGCAAACTCATACCAAAAAGCAGCAGAGCAAAGAGTGCTAAGCAACAATGAAGGGCTACACTTTTTCTGAAGCAAGGGAAGGCTGCGCTCACCAGAGTAGACTGTGATACTGAAGGGTCATATGTGGACCCTGGAGGCAGGAACAGAGCCAGGTGAATAGACGGAAACACAAGGACCCCTCTGAGTTGGAGCAAACATGGGGTGTGAACGGACTGTGAAGAGGCCAGACTGATTAGAATAGGCCATCTGTGCTGTGTTAACAATTTCAAAAATACCACTTTCAGATTCTACACAATGAAGGGAAAAAAGAGAGAGACCTAATGACTTTATATGAATGTAAAAAGGACAGAATTCGTTTTTCTTTGGTCTTTCAGAATATATCAATGACAGTTGCTGCAGAAATTATACTATGGTTACAAACCTGGGGGTGGGGTTTTAAAGCAAAGAAACACATTCTAGTTATACCTATTATTTTAGGTCCTTCTTGTCTGTATTTAACAGTAAGTTTTTCGGTGTTGGCCGTGTTTACTTAGACCCTTTCCTTTCATTCTAACGATGGCATTTTTAGCCTGAGAATCCAGTCTGATAGTATTTCCCGTACAGACCTGGTAGGGAGGCCAGCTGACTGAAAATTCAGAATCAGGATCACACAGGATTCTGGAAAATATATAAATCAAAAGAGAAAAAGGAGGGAAGTTCTATGCAATAAGTTTCATGTCATATTTAAAATAGAACACAGAAAGAGCTAGTCTATAAAGCTCTGTCTGCCACCAATAAGCATACCATCTTAAGAGAGAAACAATGACAAAATTACCTATTTCTAATAAGTGACGCATTACAAATGGAAATATATTTTGAACATAGATATTATCATATCATGTATTCTATTTTAGTAAATGTAGGATTGTATTCACCTGCAAAATGTATATGTCCAAACCTACTATTTTCTTTTTTACTAAAATGGATATTTTCCTCCTTTAAAAGGCTTATGTCTATCAAAATGTTAGGGAAAATTTGAAATTAATGAATAAAGAATCTGTATGACTTTGGAGCAGCCCTCGGAGAGCTGAGACCATCTGGCAGTGTAATTCACAACCTTCCTGGGACATGTTACTCATGCTGTACACTGCCCACTGAGTTTGTACTTCTTGACAAAGACCGCATGAGAAATTAGCAACATTCTGCTCAAAATGCAAGGTTCTTGTCCCAAATACCACATTTCACAAAAGTAAATGCAAAATATGTCCCTTATCCTTAGACAAACTATTCTTCACAGAACTCGAATTAGTGCTGCTTCTCGGTTGCATTCCGGCATAAGTACACCAGAGGCTGTGTCCGGAGCTCATTATGATGGAGGGATGGCCAGAATGACACTCCCCAAGTGCCACCTGAGAGACATATATTCTCCCTACTCTTTCTGAAAAAGGCACAATAGATCTGCTTCTAGACGTTTCCCAAAATTCAAAAAGAAAATACTAAACAGCAAAATGCTTTAATTAGAAACCTTAAAAAATTATGAAAGTAAGCATTCCCCTGTCATACAGGCCTGTGAACCACATCTGGGAAGACAGTCGATAGGAATTTTTCATCTTTTGTCACACACAAGCACTATAAACCCTAAATTATGTAGTTACAAGAATGAGAGATGAGGAATTGACATTCTAGGGAAAGTCACTTTCTGGGGAAGTGGAAAGAGCATGGGCATGTGCCCGACCTGGGGTCTAGCATTCATTACCGAGCTGTGCAAGTCACTTAACCTAGCTGAGCCTCAAAGTCCACATCTGTAAAACAGGATAATAATTCCATATTTCCAAGTTGTTTTGACAATTGTAAATAATAGTTTTGAAGGAAATCATATTTGGAAAGCCCTAAAAAAATTATGGCTATCATTGATGTTTTGGCTGCTCATAATGGTTATATCATTTTAACTTTTATTATGGACCCAACACAGAGAAAGTAGAAGCTAAGGGAAAATGATTTGCTACATTTTCCAGACCCACAATCCTACAAGCTTCAGAACCAGGAATATCCTGTTTTGCCGCAGTAACATCTTTTTATGCGCTTAGTACCAGACTCTTTCCTGGCACAGAGCATATTCTTTTTATGGAAGCAAATGCAATATTATAAAGATGCTTTTAATCAGAAACAGGCCACCTAAGCAAGAAACATCTCTTCAATAGGAAATAAAATGCTACAGCTCCATCATTTTGCCATGAGGTGGGCAACATGCCGGGAAATGCTTTTGCCCACTTTTCACTCCTTGTTTAATCAATTTTTATTCTTTTCATCGTCACATGTAATGGGGTTGGAAATAGCTAAATAAAGTGAAAGACGTTTTGAATCGCATTACTAAGTGATAGCTGCATTATTTCATAAATGAATAGTGCCACCCATATTCATATAATTTATGAATCGAAGTGTCATTTAGGGGAAAACATCAGTGTCAGATTTTGCATTTAAACACCTGCATTAGCTGTCAGCTGTGTAAAACCCCATAAAGACAGACAACTCCACAGTAGGCACCCAGATGAGGGTATTCATGGCCCACTTTTGCAACCAGACATGACAGTGTGATCATGGAGAATCTTTCTGTAGTTACTTCCCCTCACAGCTTATTGAAAAAATTTTAAACCCTTTTATGAAAAGAGCCTCTTCTACATGATTCATACAAGGTAACAATCTTTGGAGCCTTTCAAATTTCTTCTTCATTTTATCTCTAGATGAAATGATCATTTTTATTGTTTAAAACAACTTTCTAAATAAAATTTAATAAACTATAAAAGACAGTGTGGCAGATAACAAGTCTGATATTTATATTGCAACTGATAAACCTGTATTTCTGTACTACTAACACCCTTCAAATTAGTAGATACTTATTATGATTACTCTGCTATGTAATTGTAGAGGTGGTGGTACTGGTAGTGTGTGTGTGAACGTCTGTGTCTGAGTATTTGCGTGTTGCTCCAGACTGCAGGAGAATTGGAAGAAAAAGAGGAGGAAGGGAAGGGATGCAGAAAGGGGAAGACTTGTACCCACACAGGTTAGAAACGTGTGTTTAATGAAAGTTGTCAAATAAAGCACAACTTAATGAAACAGAGAATTACAAAATGGACTACATCTTTAAGAACATATTTTCATTCTCATTCATTTATTTGACTTGTGTTTATTCAGCTCCAACTCTGAGCGTGTAGTTGAGTGTGACCCCATTAAACCTGCATGGTGCACTGTCTTTACCTCAAGGAACAAGTCTGGGAGTAGAGAAACTTAGGGGCTATATGTAAACAAATCAACAAATGCACTCTAGGGTCATAAATAAGGTAAATTTTTTTTGAGTTGGAGTCTCACTCTGTTGCCCAGGATGCAGTGCAGTGGCGACATCTCAGCTTACTGCAAACTCGGGCTGCAGGTTCAAGTGATTCTCCTGCCTCACTTGATTACAGGTGTGTGCCACCATGCCCAGCTAATTTGATTTTGCATGTTTTTAATAGAGACAGGGTTTCACCGCGTTGACCAGGCTGCTCTCAAACTCCTGATCTCAGGTGATCCACCTGCCTCAGCCTCCCAAAGTGCTGGGATTACAGGCATGAGCCACAGTGCTCAGCCTATAAATGAGGTAAATATTCTGATAGAAGTGTATCCAAGGTATCATTGGGAGACAAAAAAAGAAACCCCTAACTTAGCTGGTGAAAGGACAGGCTGTGTCACACACACAAAAAGTAGTATCGGTAGTGATTCTTAGAGAATGCATAAGTGATATCCAAGAGTGGATAAGAAGGGCAAGGGCATTTTGAAAAGTAGAAACATCACAGGCTGAAGGAATTCCGCTAGGCATAAGACGGCAGGGAACCAGAAAATTATAAATGGTTTATCTGGAATATGGAAATATGACAAAATAGTTGTAACAATAGACAGGGAAATGACCTGCTGAAACAACATTAAAAAGGTATTTTAGATATAGGAAGAAATCTAACTACAACAAAATAATTAGTTTAGTGGTGCAGTTAGAGTAATAGCATATGAAGAGCTTAAATGGTGAGAGGGAATCATAATTAATACCTAGAAAATAAGTCAGAAACCTGAATACAGACATAGGTTAACAAGTAAAAGTAGCCAGGTATAGAGAACCTGAAATGGTGGGATGATGGTGAGCAAGAGTGCATGCCCCACTGTTAAGTGAGTAGCACTACTGGGTCCAGGTCGATGGTTGCTATACTTGAATGCAATCCCAAGATTACCTAATCTCTTGATTTATTAAAAAAAAAAAAAAAAAAAAAAGCAAGATGGTTGGGCATGGTGGTTCGCACCTATAATCCCAGCACTTTGGGAGGCCGAGGCGGGGCAGACTGCTTGAATTTAGGAGTTTGAGGCCAACCTAGGCAACAAAGCGAAACCCAGTCTACAAAAAGTACAAAAATTAGCCAGGTATGGTAATGCATGCCTGCATTTCCAGCTACTCAGGAAGCTGAAGTGGGAGGATCGCTTGGGCCTGGTGAGATGGAGCTGTGATAGCACTATTGCATTTCAGCCTGGGTGACAGAGTAAGAATCTGTATCAAAACACATACACACACACACACACACACACACACACACACACACACAGGGAAGAAAGAAAAGCAATTCATGGCTGAGTGTGGGGGTTCACGCCTGTAATTCCAGCACTTTCGGAGGCCAAGGTGGATGGATCACCTGAGGTCAGGAGTTCGAGACCATCCTGGCCAACATGGTGAAAACCTGTCTCTACGAAAAATACAAAAATTAGCAGGGTGTGGTGGTGCAAGCCTGTAATCCCAGCTACTCAGGAGGCTGATGCAGGAGAATTACTTGAACCTGAAAGGTGTAGGTTGCAGTGAGCCAAGATCGCACCACTGCACTCCAGCCTGGCGACAGAGTGAGACTCCACCTCAAAAATAATAATAATGATAAAATAAAATAATATATTTTTTTTGAGACGGAGTTTCACTCTTGTTACCCAGGCTGGAGTGCAATGGTGCGA